GACTAAATTATTAGACATCCCCAAGTGCACTTTTCGTGGGTCCTCCACACTCAACATTTGGATAATATCCACAGGCCTTTGTGTGAGATCTCAATTCAAGCGCCTTCTACCTTTGTCCAAAAGAGAAAACAAGGATAAAAGGTATATGAATTATTAAAAGACGGGGTTATCGACACTGCAAAAGAGTCATTATTTAGCAATTTGACTATTTGAATATGAATTTGCATAAAATTATAAATAAGTTGGGCTATTTCCTTGTTGTCAATTGGTTTCATAGTGGAACCTCAACTTTCTTCATGGTATCAGAGCAGGTTATCCTATGTGTGAAACCCAATGACTACATGTGCTCCACGTTTGTGTTGTCCATGTATTAGGCTTGAAAATTCGCTACACGTGAGGAGGCGTATTGCGAATGAATTCTACATTGATGGGAAGAGAGACATTGCATGAATTTATAAGTAAGTTGGGTTAGTCCTTGTACTACCAATTGGTTTTATAATAGAACTTTCCTCCATATTTTTACAAAAACAAAATGTAAGATAATATTTATGAGTCGTTGGTTATGCAGAACATCGTGGACAATATTTAATGTGCAGAATGACATTTTTGAAGTTGCAGAATATAATATACAAATGATCTCTTTTCATTTTGATTGTTAATAAAGAGGAAGAAAGAAACACCTACCTCAATACTATTTAATAGATTGCTCAAATGTTATAGTGGCATGGCAAACACATACAATAAATGAAAGCTTGCAAAATATTCTCCCTTTTCAAAGTGCACAGCTACAGAAACTCTCTTCCTCAAAGTCCATGGCTACACCAAAACCCAAAAACCAAAAACCAAAAACTTGTAAATATATTTAACATTGAGGCCATAAACTTTGACTTTGCACCGAATTCGGTGTAGCATCACTCTCTTTGGACTATTGCCATTTATTCACTTATTTTTCAAGTATTCCAAAAGGAAAAAACAATGCTCATGAATTATACAATGTATATATTATTGACTTGCATGGTGTAGAGGTTTGATTTAGGTGGTGATCAAATATCTTTTAACTATTAGATTTTCGTGTGTCACGGTATTGGGCTGAGTATTCGAGCTTTTAGGGTTTATTCATGTATATACTATATTTTGTGCTTATCTTGTGTGTACCAGACGTAATTTCTCTTGTGTGACGAATTTTGTTGTGTTGTAATTCTATTCCTCATGTATTTGTGGGAGTGGTTTCCACTTGATCAAGTTTACTTTTCTTCATGTTATGATGTCCCGACGGCAACATATAGGTTCCAAATATATTTTAGAGTCGGAACATGATAAGTTTAGCGGTACAATAATATTTTATTTTAAACTACTTTTATTATGAGAAGAGAAACTTAAGTTGAGTTTAAAAAAGGCAGACATAATGGCAGAAAGGAGTTAAGCATTTGCCGATCACTAATCAAATATCTAATCTAATAAAATCTCATTTGCCAAAAAGAATACTTTAAAAAAAAAAAAAAAAAAAGGTAGACACAATACTTTAATGCACAAAAAATAGGAAATGTATATGTGAAAAAAATGTACGTGACATAACAAATCCTAGAGATTTTGATGCGACAAATCTATCCCCATAATATTCCTTTACACAAGAGACAAGTTTGATGATTTTGTTGAGGGGAAAATTCTTATCGAGCATTAGTAGATGTTATCTCATGTGGCAGATGCACTATTGGTACCAAGTTGGCCCCAAAACTATTCGAAGTTTGGAACATAAGTATGCGAAGGTTTTTGGAAACGCTTTGAATATTTTGCACTATATATTTTTAGTGTCCATTAAGTGTTAGGTGTAATGCATGCTAGCATTTTCGGTAGTACTCATCAGGTTGTATTCACAATACTCGACAAATACTGTCGATAACACTTATCAAATTGTTTCGGCAAATATCGACATTTATTAACATATGCGCGACATGATTTGGTTGAAGACAAGCTTATCAAATGTTCATGCTATGTTTTTATCTAAAAAAAACTTGGATCTTTAACATTGAGATCCCCAACGTTCAAATTTGAATCCGCATGTCCCGTTATTTTATTTTTTTGTAAAGCTCAAAATTATTCTCTCTTTTATCTTCCAAAAGCCGTAGTCAAATTTTTTTACTTTTAAATTCTCTAATAGTTTCATCTATGTTTTATTTATTTATCATTATCTTAGAAAACCGAAAAGGATCACCGAAATCATCTGAAAATGATGTATGAATTTAATGGACCGCCAAGCCCGGGAATTGCATGTGCTCGTAACATGGTAGGGCTCATCATCCAAATATAATTCAAATTTTTAATTAAAAAAATTATCATTATTTTTTTTTATAATTAGATTCTCGATTATAAAAACAAGAATATTTGCTTCCACCGTCAACAAAAAATAATAAAATGAGTGAGAAAAACATTTTGTTCGGAAAAAAAAAGATTTATTAAGAGCCTTTTCATTTACATGCACATGCAGTAACGTTGAAATCACCTACACTTACGAAATAACACAACATTCTTCATAAATTGTTGCACCTGATTATTATTAGAATCTGAAACAAAGTACCAAAGAATAGTAAACAAAGCACGCTGCATAGCGGTTCTAAATATGACATGTCGCCCTTGTATGCAAGAAGAAGGAAGTGAAGAAGGAGAACAAACGAAATAAGGCGTTTTTAGCTCTAGTTTTGGATGAGTTTCTCTCAATTATGTCTGGTAATAGAATAATGTATGCCGGCCATACTGAACTTCTCCCACCATTTTCACCATGACATACCAAAAGGCATTTACTTTAAAATGATTATCATCCAGGCACTCTAATCTTGAGATGATTAGATTATATTGTCAACAAGTAACATGCTAATCTTATTTTATTTTCTTAATTTCGTCGCATTGAAGGCAACAACGTGTGTGGTTGATGATTTTATATGTGATGAACCCTAAATCAAATTGGGGTGCGTTATTTGGGTTGACAATTACTCCACCCATACACAGCTGCCATTTTTTTCTTCTTAATTTTATAATATTTTCACTTTTCTTAACAATGCTTTTCTATTTCATAATCTCAACCGACAAATTGTTCAAGAAATCTATATACTCCTTGGTTTTTCCGAATGATTCGATGAATAATGATTTAAAGTTTTAATGAAAGAAACTAGATTAGTAGATTTAATTGTTTAATTAACTTGACTAATGTCTAACAAATCAAGCATATTAATACTTAGGCCTCATTTGAAAGTGCTTTTAAAATAACTAAAACCACTTTTGGTGAGATTTTAAGTTCCAAAAGCCAAACCTCTCTAAAATAAAACCTAAAAAGTAAGAACTTTCAAGACAAGTTGCAAACGAAAAAGAAATCCAAAAAGATTAGGTAAAAAAGGAAATCACACATCAAGAAGGAGAAACAAACTTGAATGCTGAGATGCCCAAGAAATCTGATTGCAGAAAAGAAAGAATCTTTATAGGAGTGGCATGCCAAACAAGTGAAGATGAGAGAAGCCCTCAATTAGATAATTTATATGCAACTATATGAGGGCAACGGAATACCATGTGGTGCAAATGGGTCTGGAGCGACCAAGGAGGAGAAAAAAAACCAAAAGAAAAACAAGATATCATGTTAGAAAAATCACTTTAAATTTGGATTCCAAAAGCACTTTAAATGATTTTTAGAAGAATCACCAGATATGTGCTTCTTGCAAAAAAACATTTAAAGTGCTTTTCATAATCTACTTTTAAGAATTGTGTTCAAACACATTTTTACTAAAAACACTTTCAGCCGTTTTAAAAATACTTTCAAACGATTTAAGATTCCCAATCACTTCAAATCATCAACACACGTGGGAACTGATGTAGTTCGAGCTTCTCGCAAAGGTGGTAATGATTTTTATGTCGGATTTTCCAGTGGATCCTCTGCATTGGTTCATTGCATTCTCCAAATGATTCTTTTATTTTACCTTTTCGGATTTTTCAGAATGTTATTAAGCAAATCAAAGGAAAAAGGTAGCAATGAGTTGACTTCATTTCTTGAGCATTTTTAGCAGTTAATGGATCAAGGGCAAAACACGTTGAACTTTTCAAAGACTGCATACTGATATTCATATGTCCAACAAGAAAATCTGTTTTACAACTGGTTGTATATTTGATGTGTTTAAGCTGTTTGTTAACCACTTATTGACGGTGAGTTTGTTCTACGAGCATGAGAGATTATGATGTGTTTAATTTGACCTCAACAAGAGGTGATAATAAATCTCTTATTCACTCAGACTTAACATTCACACAATAAATCACTTTAAGACTCCTATTTAGTTACAGGCCTAAGCAACAAGGCTCGATTGGAGATAAACACAAGAACTTAACTTAGGAAAACTAAGATTCTCCCCAAATCATAGCCACCAAATTGGACTTGTGATCGAACCTAAACATCCCAAATTGAAGGACTTAATTTCCGTAACTCAAGGCAAATTCAGAAAAAAATCAACAAATTACCAGTTTTCACATGGAAGGACTTAATTTCCGTAACTCAAGGCAAATTCAGAAGAAAATCAACAAATTACGAGTTTCCACAAGTAATCGTAGACTAGTAGAAAAAGTATTTCTAAAATAACGAAAACGGTTGAGAAATGCATGTGGAGGTAGGGTCATGGGGAATAGCAGTTGGTGAGTCTAACCGGAACATTTCCATGTGCACATGGATTCTTGTGATATGACCTGAAAATATGAATCTCTGTTTATATGTGGTTACCTCTCTCTCTCTCTCTCTCTCTCTCTCTCTCTCTCTCTCTAAAAGGTAATCAACATGGTGCCAAAGCCTAAACTTGTCTCTTTCTGTTCACACTGCCTTAACTCTCCTATATAAGCAAACCCCCAATTTATCACAATGCAACCACTCACCTCTCACTTTGCACTTAGTACTTCCTCCTCCTCCTCCTCCTCCCCCTCCTCCTCCTCTCTCTCTCTCTCTCTCTCTCTCTCTCTCTCTAAACACATAAAGAATGGCTTTTACTCTTTCTCACTCCACCATTGCTCTTCTGTTCTTTGTCCTCAATATATGTCTTCAAGGTACTTTTGGTGACTATGGAGGTGGATGGGAAGGTGGCCATGCCACATTTTATGGTGGTGGTGATGCCTCTGGCACAATGGGTAAGTCTAACTCACTTCTTTTTCACTTTAGGGTAACTTGAGTTCGAATGTGTAAAACCCAAACTCGTGGATGCAGTCACACTGGCCAGAGCAGATGCACATTGATCCAACTTTAAATTTGTCTTATTGCAGTTTAGATTAGTTCAAAGTAGAATATCACTTGTAGACAAAAAACCGAAAACCCAAGATGGAGATAGTAAATATTTTTAACCATGAATATTGATCGGGTTGTGTATTTGGATATTGCAGGAGGTGCTTGCGGATATGGAAACTTGTATAGTCAAGGGTACGGAACCAACACTGCAGCACTGAGCACAGCTCTCTTCAACGATGGCTTGAGCTGCGGGTCTTGTTATGAGATGAAATGTGATAGTGACCCCAAATGGTGCCTCCCCGGCAGCATCATCGTCACCGCCACCAACTTCTGCCCTCCTAATTTTGCTCAGTCCAACGACAATGGTGGCTGGTGCAACCCTCCTCTCCAGCACTTCGATTTGGCTGAGCCTGCTTTCGAGAAAATCGCTCAGTACCGAGCTGGAATTGTCCCCGTCTCCTTCAGAAGGTAAAAAACAAACATTTACTTAAACTGCCTCAGTAATTTTAACATGTGACTTGGAAACTTACTTACAACAGAAATGTTACTATGAAAGTATATGAAGCCAATCACCACACTGTGTAACTGACTTATAGAGGTGTAGATCTTATTCTTTCTATCTCACTCATCCACTGACCAAGTCACGTAACGAGTGAGACAAGAAAAAATGCGATATACACCCGTTACACAGTGTCATTTTTCACTTGATTATATGAAGTGTGACATGAAAAAAAGTCTCACGTGACGGTCACATCCCAAAATTTATTTATTTTTGTCGTTGAAAGTTTGTATAATTTGTGAGACAGTGAAATTAACATGCTTTTGTTCGGTAATTTGTAGGGTTTCATGTGTGAAGAAGGGAGGAGTAAGATTCACAATCAACGGCCACTCATACTTCAACTTGGTTTTGATCACAAACGTGGGAGGAGCAGGAGATGTGCACTCAGTGTCGATCAAGGGCTCCAACACAGGGTGGCAAGCCATGTCGAGGAACTGGGGCCAGAACTGGCAGAGCAACTCTTACCTCAACGGCCAGAGCCTCTCCTTCCAAGTCACTACCAGCGACGGCAGAACTCTCACCGCCAACAATGTTGCGCCGGGGAACTGGCAGTTTGGCCAGACATATGAGGGCAGTCAATTCTAAGACTCCTCCGGCAGTAAAACGGTCAAAGTCTGGTGAACGGTGAAGGGTACAACCTTGTATGCGGATGGGAAGAGGAGAGTGGAGGTTTTTTTTTTTTTTTAGGAGGCAACTGATTGCTGAGGTGGCTAATTGGCACCCGCTAGGCCTATCTATAATATAATATAATATAATATATATATATATATATATATATACAGTGAGGAGATTGTGTCCGTTTGATTTGATGATGATGCATTTTGTACCGTTGGATGTGGTATGCAGATTTTATTACTCATACCCCGAGTAGGTACAGAACCCAGATGGAGCAAATTTGTACTTTCACCTTCATTATATATACTTTGGTTTGGTGGATTCTTCATGTGACTTGTAAAATGAATAGAGATAATTTTTAAATTTCTGTGTTCGGAACTAACGGGCCAGAAGATTCAGACCACTTATTTTAAATCATACTGCTCTCATTAGCTTATTTTATTGACCTATCTCACACAAATCAAATTTCAGATCTCCCTCTATTCAACAACCCGAATCTCAAGATTCTTCGCCTTTGAATACAAAAATCTAAGGAAAATCTCGACTCTTATAAAATGACTACTTTCGAGTATTAATGATATTTTTTCAAAGTATATATTTTTGGTCGACTAAAGTATTAGTAGGGAACCTTTCTCTGAGAAGATGAGTTTCTCATGTGACCAGCTACTGTTTTCCAGGTAAATTAATGCTTTTACAATATTCAAATACAAGAGCTTTGGCCTTGGAATAAATGAAGAGGCATTCAACGTGCTTGAAATCTAAGTGACCGACATGAGAAATAAGATGCCTCGCCCGTGACATCTCTCTACTGCAATGTACCTGTTGAATCCCACATTGGTCACAAGAAAGGAGAAATAATAGTTTAAATATTCACTTTAATTAATACCGAGGTTTTTTTGTGATAAAATCTCACACTTGACGGATAGTGCATATGATAATTACTAAATTGGAGACAACATCGATGTTGAAATGGGCATTTGACTCGTCTCTTTGATAATTTGACATTACCTATATTGTTGTATGGTAGAATGGCTCTCAAGACGTTTTGCAATAGACTAATATAATTCATTTGTGGCCGGAACTTGATTAGTGTTGGGTGAACGACATTAACACTTGTGTTTGGCTGTTTTGACATCCAATTTTGTAAGGGCAGCCCCAAGGCATCAATGCTCTTCAATTTGCGAGGGTCAGGAAGAACGTCTGTTGTATGCAGTTTTACTGTTGCTTTACAAAAAAACTATTTCTATGACTCAAACTCGTGACATTCCGATCAAATAGGTGCAACCTTTTCGTTGATCCAATTTTAAACACATTAGGTTTGAATAAAAGTTTGTGTTTCCATCATTCGATCAGAAAACCTAAAGAGGTATTCACGATTCAGTAAACCAAACAGAAAGTGTTCCCACTCCAGAGTTTGAAAAGTCTGAAAATTGATGTAAATTGGCAGCATTTTAACATTAACGGCACAATATTTTCTTACAAAAACATCTGCACCGGTGGCTGGTAACAGCCATGGACTACAATTTACCCAAGTTAATCAACCCTTGAAATTAACAAAAACAAATCTTAGTAGTAAATAATACATTCACTTGAGCCTCTCTCTTCGTAGCCTCTCGAGTTCCTTGACCATCTGCCAGTGTTCCAATGATAGGGAGGTTTCACCAAAACTCATCGACATCAATCGACCCATTGTCAGCAATCTGTAAGCACAATCAAGAATATAATGAATGACTTAACGAATCTCGAAGAAGAAAGAACAATTCGCAAATCTTTCAGTCTCTAACCTGCTGAAATCTTGGGTTCCCAGTGTCCTATCTTCCTGCCTTGCTGCAACCAAGTCATTTTCTATCACCTGTACGGTTTCAGACGACGACATCAGCCAGAGGCAGATTGATTAATTTATCAGACATGGAGAACAACACTTCTGAACTAAATTTGTAATCCTAAGTTCCCAACTCTATTGCAGTAGGCAATTTCAGGGTAACAAGTTGTCCAAAGCAACTCTTACCTTCTGTAATTCTGAGTCAATAGAATGTGGCAATGATCTAAGAGTAGCCAAGTACCATCTCCAAGCCTCTAGTGCTTCTGCGGTGACTTCAGCGGAAGCCACTGAAGAAGGGTGGAAAGGTAACACAACATCAGCTGGCAAAATGTTTGATTTGCCTTCCGAAAGAACAAGCATTTGGATGTCTGCTGGCATGTCCAGTTTATAGAACTTGAAATCATATTCCACCTGAAAAGGACAGATTAAAAGTTATCATGCCTTAGTGTGCATTTTGGTGCTATAAACTCTGACGTAATAATAATCTCATAAGGCACAAATCTACCAAAATTCACAGGTTGCCAATCTTAGTGCATTAAACATTAATACATAAAGAAACACAGAAGTATGTATAGTAGAATAGATAAATCACCTTTTGCAACTCTATTAAAGTTTTAAGCAATCTTGCATTTTCAACCCCGACAGAGTTAAGAATGCCAGCTTCCAGCCGGGTCTCATCAAATATCACGTGTGAACCCTCAGCCAGCTGCAGGGCTCCGGTTATCAGCCTGGAGCAATGTGAAAAGTTAAAAACTATTACAAAATTGACACTAAGGTACAGAATCGAAAATCTCGTTACCTGCTTGTCTCATAATCCTTTCTTGGCGCAAGAGAAGCAGTGTTGAGATAATCCACTGTTAGGGATATGCCTTGTGTGAAAGGTAAAAGATTCTTGAGAGCAAGGCCAAGCCGGGTGCCAAACACAGGCGCACTTTCTCTGCTTAAACAAGTAAGATTTAGTGAAAGCTTCCCCACAGCAACAGTTCCAACTCTTGAATACACCTGTGAAAAGCAGATCAAATCATATACCTCATATGTAAAGGAGATGAGGAGAGAGATTTTAAGAGATTGAGATAAGACACGATGCACAAAAATAATGTAAAAGTATCATCATGTGTATCCAACACAGAATATTTAGATATGATAAGGACCGTTTACCATGGATAAGAGATGCAACAGCATGAAATTAGCAGCTATACCATCATTGCCAAGAACAGCTGTAAGATGCCTCAAGAGAGCTTCCCTGATCTCTTTCACCAAGTTCGGCTTTGGCTATAAGATAGACAGTAATAGCATTGTCAGCACAATATCAAAAGTAATTAAGGGAAGAACGTGAAAGGGGGAAATTTAGAGTTCCCAGGATAGCAGAAACACACAGACTATACAAGTCCTTTGAGGAAATATGAGATAATAATGAGCACAAAATCACCTCGATTGTAGGGGAACGCGGAAGGAAGTCGTGAACTGCAAGTTTCCTGTGAATAAAACAGTGGAGACGTGGTACCTACAGCAAGAGAAAATTGTGAAAAAAGTATAAAATTGAATGTACTTAACAGTCCTACACCGAGTACTAACAAGCGGTACAGAACAACACATGCAAAAATTAGTCTTTTCTTATATATGAAGACCTACAATTTCATATGGAAGACAGAACTAGTACCTTATTTGGGGGCAAGTGAACCAACACATCTTCACTAAAACCATTCGTGAAATCATCTGATTCATCTTTGTCCTCTTTAAACTCTGAATCGAAAGTGAAGACTCCAACAAACTCAAAAACCTCGTTTAGCTTTAAGTCAGATTCTAAACAATCATACATCTGATAGGATACAAGAGTTTCATCAGCTTTCACTAAAAGAGAGAACAAATCTCGGTTCATAATTTTTCTATTGGTATAATAAATTGTCCAATGTACCTTAATAAGACAAGGAAGCGAATCATTGTTGACATCAGGCGCTGTAATCATACTAGAGCTGGTGCCCTCAGTAATTGACTGCTGAGAAGAATGTCCGTTTTCCTTCTGGAAAAGATGAAGAAAATTAGGAAGGATGAGTTTTTGTTTCATCAGAATCGGAAACTAAAGTTTTTATTTAATTAATAAAATTGGTTCTACTTACGAGCTTTTTGGTAGAAGGAGAACCTTCAATCCCATTATCTGAGACCTGTCATTCAATGCACTATGTCAGGTACACAAACAAGATGCCATCTTTCCAATACAAAGCTGAAGGAAACTTCACTTGAGAGATGAGATGTTACAGATGTAAAGAACCAAAACTTGTCAACTCATGAAGTCACAAAATAAACCAAGCACGATAAAAACCTATCAAGTAAATTATGACAGTCCAATCATCCGAAACCTGCCCCTTGCAAAGATCTACCTACTCAATTGCTAACAAAAACTTCCTAAATTTATACAACTAAGTTAAGCACAAAGATGGCAATAATAAGGCGGTTTTGCATTGTAATGCAGTTTGCCTTTTCTACTTAAAACACGATTAAACTTTCACTAAACAGATTATGAGAATGGAAATTACATCCATGTTATCAGTAGCTTCAACATCCACTCTCGGGCGCTTTTCTCTTTGTTGGGTTGCTGATTCCATACTCGAAAACATCACCGCGTCAGAAGATTCAGCCCATGAATTCTGTCCCGGCACCTAAACACAAATACAAGATAACAACACAAGAAAACTCAGATCACCGAACGAGCCACAATGTTAATTCCACGCATCCAAACTGAAAACTGTAGCAAAATTCAAGGAATGTCATTACCCTAACAAAATGAAAATTCAAACACAGCCACCAACACTAAGCATATAAGTATGTGCTAAGAGTTTGATTATAGTCTCACTCACCGGGGTGCAGTAGAGCATTCGGCGTTCCCATAACCGCATATCCGGCGTGGAATCCACCGGGAATTGAGGAACATCCGTGAACTTGTTGGTCCTCCAAACAGAGCCATCCTTCAATACCAACAACGCATTATTTTCGTGGCAACTAAATAAATTAACAATCCTATGTTGCACAAACAGAAAAATGCTCAGAGGGCATAAGATAAAGACAGCTACCTTATAAGCACCGACATAGAATTCATTTCCCAACATGTCTTGTACCATTCCCCGAAATCGAACGAGTGTGTTGGGCTGAACCCATCTTATGCTTGCAGAATTCAAAATTGGTACCTAAATTTTGACAAGCAACAATTTTTCAAATTTTAATTGACATTTCACAGAGAAGCTAAAATCAAGGGATTAAAAGGGGGAAAATGATACACAATTAGGGTTGTCAAGGGCAATTAAATGAGCCCAAATCAAAAAGCATAAAAATTGAGGGTGTAGGGTTTGGGTTCGGACATGAGAGAGGCCGCCGTCATCGTAGAGGAAGTTGCGGAAGAGATCGACGGCTCCCCAGTCCCGGCCGTCGAAGGAGGCCGGATCGGATCCCGACGCAATCGCCTTCTCGAAAGTAGACCGGACCGCTCCGAGAGGATTCGCCAGACAGTCGTACGCTACTCCCACCATATCTGATTCTCTCTCTCTCTCTCTCTCTCTCTCTCTCTCTCTCTGAGTTCTCTCTCAGTCACTCTCTCGATGTGGCGGTTGGGAACGGCTTCCCGCGCTTTTAAGTGAGGTCGTTGGGTTTTTCCCGCTAAGAATTGCTTGTTCCCGCCATTTTGGTCCTAGGTTTAGTGGCTCCATCTTCATACAACTGACGGAAAATTTTTAGGTGTACCCTCACTCATTAGAATTTTTTTGGTGTACAAAAAGTGAGGGTGCACCAAATTTTTTTGGTGCACCCTCACCATTATGAGTGAGGGTACACCGAAAAATTACTCACAACTGACAAAGAGCATGGTGTAATGAGTTTTAGAACGTCGGATGTCGTAGACGACTTTTGGATCGTTGGATGCGGGAAAGCTAATTTGTGTTTGGCTTTTGCTTGTCTTAGTTTGGAGATAAGGATTCGGAATTCTTTAATCTTGTTCGTTTATCGTATATCGTACTGTCAGTTTTTTTTTTTTCAGATACTGTTTGAGTTCAATTTTAAATAATATATTTTAAAATAATTTATAACCGAACAATGTACAATAAAAAAACATAATTAAAGGATCCCCGGGATCCTCACAAAGAGGATCCGGCGAGGATCCTATCTCCTCAGTTCGGGTGAGCTTAAGCATATTTTGGTTTTTTTCTTTTTATTTGAGATTTAATATAAGTATGATAAGAGGATTTGGAAGTAGATCAAAGTCTATATATTATTTTAGCTTAACTTGGTTACGTCAAGGTTAAACTTAATTTCATTGGCTAATTATCCCGTGACGATAAAATCTGGTTTTTATTGCCATTTTGTTGTTGAAATCTTCGAACTTAATTGATGTATAGAAAGAGCATTGTATGATTAATAATTTAATGCGGTGCTTAGCAATTTTCAAAAGCCTTGATTAGTTCCAAAACAATATTTGGTTATTTAAAGATAAGTACGAACTCCTACTCAAAATTTTTAATATTGTAATCACAGAGCTTTTTACTTATGATAAAAACCGATACTATGAATCACACTGTAAATATCATCTCTGCAAAAAAATAAATTAAAAGTATGAACTCCTACTCAAAACTTTTAATCTTTTAATCACATAGCTTTGTACTTATGATCAAAACCGTTCATACTATGAATCACACTGTAAAGATCATATCTGCAAAAAAATAAATTAAAACTAAGGTCGTTTAGTCAATCTATTGTAGTAAATACATAGACGGGTCGTAATGCTTCTACAAATACCGTTCATTTGTTTTTAAACAGTTTGATGACTAAATGATTTTAATTTTAATTGATTTTTTGCAGAGATAATCTTTATAGGATGATTTATAATATGAACGGTTCTGATTATAAACATGAAGTTCTATAAATTGACAACGAACAATTTTGAGTAGGAGTTCCAACTCATATTTGAGTAAGCAAATATTGTTCTTAGTTCCATCATCATCGGTTCATAAAACTGATAAACACATAAATCTAACAACGTGCGCATAAAAAAATTTAAAAAAAAAAAAATCTAAGAATGTTGCATTATTTGGAGACTAATCACATTCGAATTATGAAAAAATAAATTAAACAGAACAGAATCTAACTGCAATTTGAGCTCTGTACTTTCCGTTACCAGCTCCATCCTTTGTTCTTCAAATTAATAAGACTAGTATATGCTCACACACGAAGCGCGTGAAATTTTTGACTTTGTTGTTAAAATTGAAGGAAAGGGAAAGAGAGTAAGAGAGAACGTGAGACAGTGGGAGAGAGGGAGAGAGCTCTAAGCATGTCTCTTGTTCGGATAAAACAGACCCCATTGTCGCTCCACTGCTTCACCTGCAGGTTTCATGCTCTCGTTAAACATGGCAAACAAGTAAGTCTCGATGGACTTTTCCGCCCGCCTTGGAGTGCCATGTGACGACAGCACGTGCCTCATTAGGTTAGAGTTGTATTTTTGCGCAATGCTTGGCGTTGCCACGTTCCCATTCCCGTCGGAGGGCCAGCCCCACTCGGACACCACCGCACGAACTTGGGGTGCCCCTGCTTCCTGCAAGGACGCATAAAACGATCCACCATGGCATCAAACAGGTTGTCATAACTCAGACCATCATCTGTAACAATAACGCTTTCTGAAGCGAACAATGCATAAGGCAGTGAAACGTCGCTAGGGTTTCTCAATGTAGGTAAAGTAAGGCTACACATTGGCTAGCCATGGTGCCCCAAAGCTGTTCAAGTATTGTGCAATCGGAACCATGTACTCCACGGTGTCTTGAGAAAACTTTGTAGCCGAGGGAGGGTAAGACTCACCCAGTACCGACGTTGCAACTGCCGTCGAGACCTTTATTTGCTAAATAGAGTCAAGACCCCCGGAGCTCGATGCATTGTGCAAGTTTGGCATTGCTGGGAGGACGTATTTTGCAACCTCTTCCGGGACGACCTCGTTGCCTACGGCTATGTATCGAAAATTGATTTGCGGTGAATAAGGCCTAATGTACGTTTCTGCCCAGTCCTCAGCAGCGGATTCAGTACTTGCAAATTGTTGAAGTTCCTCATTACCAACTCCGACTAGGACTTCAACGTCAGAATTAAGAAGGGCCTGGAGCGCTTCCTGGTTAGGATCATACGTAGTCTCATTCTTTAGATTTTGTTGGATTTGTACACGGAAATTACTTCCCATGGTGGTGGCAAGTCATTGCCTAGCATTCCGTAGCATACTCCAATCGGAGAACCGAATGCTGTCGAAAGCGCCACGAAGAAGACGAGACAAAGCAGTAGAAAGTTACCGGCCATTGCAAAGATCGAATGAAAATATGACATCAAACCTTACCAACATTTTGCAAAGACAACTCTAAACTACGCATTATATAATATCAAACCTTACTAACATAAACGGGAAAGTTTCGTACTGTAATATTGAGAGCGAGTTGACAAAATATTGAGGACTACTAAAAACCGAAAACTTTTCCATTTTTCTTGAGACCGAATTTTTCATTACCCTTTTGGTGACGGTAGTATTGGTGTCGGTTACTCTATCCGACATTATACGATTTAATGTCGGATTTTTACCAAATATCTGACAGTAACTGGTGTTTCTTGTCAGTTTTAAACCGCCAGTGATATCCCATTTTGTAGTAGTGGGTAAAAGTTTTCCTTTTTGGTTTTTGGTAGTTTAGGTTTTCCAACTCAAACCAGGAAAACCTAAACTACTAAAAGCCTAAAACTTCCCTAAATCTTCAAATGTATTTTTGAGGCCCTAAATCATGCACCTCAGAAACCTAGAGTTCCGACAGTCCCACTATGCATGGCCTAAGCCGCGGTTAAATCCAAGAAGGAACGAATGTAAAACGTAGGTAATATATACCTATTTGGGTTTTCTTTGTCGAACGTACATATATAGGTTTGGTTGGTCGTGCTATCCGTATCGTATACGTATCCATTTGGTTCTTAAACTGTTACATAACTGCATAATTTCATTTATAAATGGCCATAAATCACAGTTAAACAAATTGAAACAGAAGTCCTCAAATCGTCTATGTATCCAGCACTGAAATAATATATTTTCGTATCTGAAAACGACACCACATCGCCAGTTTAGGCGTTCTCTGGCATATCTCTGAGATGTACAGAGCAAAGTGCTGAGCCTAATTATCCCTTAACAAATCATCCGGAGAAAAGTCTGGTGAAAAAATTGCCGGATTTTGATTTCTCCAAACAGGCTACATGAACATATCTTCCAAGCTTGTCCACTTGCCTGGCCTCGCCACCCGTGTCTTTCTTGCAAACCTTGCAAGTCTTGTCCACCCAGCCATCCTCCACATATTGCCCATCCACTGGTACCAAGTCAAGAACAATTATCCAAATTAGGAAAATCATTTCAATAATTTTTATAAATACACATTTTTTTTATTATTGAAAGAATGATAATGGATAGGCAAGTCGAACTACCTAAGGTTCGGTCGTTGGACTACAATAGTAGAAGTCTTACTCTCTAAACCCGCACAAGGTGGAAAGAGAGGACCAAGGCCCTAGGATTAGTTATCAACTACAAGTAGGCTACTTTCTTCCCGCTCTAATCTCTACAAGTAGGGTACTTTCTTTTTTTCTTTTTTTCTGCTAAGAGCAATTAAAATTGGCTAACTCCCTAATATAACGACCCAGTCCCCTATCTCCAAAATTTATTAAATAAAGAAAAGCAAAAATAAAAGAATACAAACGCGAGGACGAAGCCAAAACCCATGAAGAGAAAAACAAAAAAAACATCACCGAAAACAAAAAATATGATGAAACACACATATGAACTGGCTACAACCTTTTAATAAAAGTAGAATTTAGACACGCTAAACATACAATAAGTTGTATATAGACTAAGGTTTATAGTAGTTTTATTATCTATTTATTGTCCATCTAGTTCTCGTCTAATCAAAAGCTTGTAATCTGTTTTATTTGTGCGTATATTTCTAAATTTCTTTGCAGAAAATATATGAATGTTTGAAATTGCTAATGCTACATACCCTCAACATAGTCTTTGAAGAAATCCTTGTATGTCCCTCCAATTTTCCTTCTCAAAGCCCCATACTGCATGAAAATAAGAAAAATCTATCAGCAATCTCACATAAGCATTCTGGTTTAATTAATAAATAAAAAAATAAAAATCCATCCTAAACTTAATGTGTTATTCGAATTTGTCCGCTGATTTTTCAATTTGGTAATGAGCTTTTTAATTTCGTTGAATGCGCCAATTTGCCGTTCAAATGATAGAAACTAGGGGCTTTTCGATCTAGGTCCAAAAACAAAGGTAGTTTTTTAACTAAGTCCAGTTATCCAATTACATATTTTTATACTAATTTTGCCCTTTTAGATAAAAATATTTAAATTCTTTAATTTTTGTATCATTTATTCAGTTTTTAATTTTGAATATTTAAATACTAACTAAAATATTATCTAGTAACCACCTAATGATGTTTACCTACAAAACCGATATAATTTAGTAACTACCTATTGTATAGGAAGAAAAATACTTTATATCAACAAAACATATGTAATCTACCTACAAAACAAAAATAAACTACCTATTGTATAGGAAGAAAAATGCTTTATACCTACAAAACAGATATAATCTACCAACAAAATAAAAATAAACTACCTATTGTATAGGAAGAAAAATGCTGAACCTCCATGGCAGAACATTAGAATAGAAATATGATATAATATACCTCTATTAAACGAACAAATACTAAACAAAAAAAAGGAACAAATACTAAGTTTCAGTTTACCTTTATGATACGCACAAAAATATAATAGAGCAAATATAAATGCATGATACTGTATTATTGCTTGCAATTGATACTGTATTGCCGAACGAATATGTAAAAAAATTGTGAAAGCTATGTAAAAACTGAAATTGTCATGAAAGAATTTGGAGGGAGGAATACAAAATATCACCCATGAAATATGATAGAAGAAAGAGGATGATTGATTCCATGATCTAACAAAGGAAATTGTTTAGAAGAAGGAAAAAAAAAGAGGGATGAAACAGACTGGGGGTTGAGATTTTATTGCTATAACTAATCCTACAATTAAGGGATTAGTTAAATCACAAATAAAGATATAATTAAGAAATTTTGAATATTTACGACAATTTATAAGTCTAAGGGATAAATATGGTACAAATTATAAATAAGCTTACGTGGAATATCAATTATTGGACCTATTTCAATGCAATGGACTAATTATAGTAATGGCTCACAAAATTGGATCTATATCAAATTATCCCTAGAAACTAATAGTAAATGTGATAAACGTGACGGTGGGGGCAAATTGCAAGTTACAAAAAATTAAAAAGCTCAAAACCAAATTGAAAGTTGAGATGGAAATCGAGGGAGGTCATGAATCAAAGTGATTAATTTATACCTGTTGTCTGGACATTCTCTCTCCAGATTTAGTGGCATCCCTAGCTTCTTCAATAAGCATAGCATCCTCTGCAGACCTGGTCTGAGAAAAATCAAGTGCTTCTGTCACACTGCTGAAGAAAGACTGTTTGGTTTCCTTCTTTGGTTCTTCCTCCTTCTCCCCCTTCTCTGTTTTGGCCAGCACTCTAAACTGAGAGGAGGAGCTCCTGCTGATGAATCCACTGTTTGGCAATCTCTCTGCAGCTCCAAAATTAGAAGCAAAATTTCTATGCGGAGAGCTCAGAGGAAGTGTTCTTATTAGTACTCCCATGTCTGGATTAATTGGTTGTTCTCCGTTTGGTTGGAGGGTTTTTTGTGAATGATTGAAACATTTTGCCCGTTTGGAGGATTAAATAATGGCTAGTTGTGGTGAACGCATGGCATGAATGCCACTCAAAAGTCCTGGTGGTTTGTATAATACTACGTGGCTATTTATCATAGCAGTCATTCTATCCAAACATGAAGTATCTTATAGAATCTTAAACTGATGGCCAATAAAAAACCAAGGTTTTGTTTATGTGCCCCTTGCTTTAAAGAAAGTCTCATTTTCCTCCCAGAACTGACAACTGTCACTGTGTGATTTTACTTTTGGTGCTTCCATCTCGTGTTCTACATTATCTTATTTTATAAAGTAAAACAAGAAACTCATTAGTTTTGCCCACTTAATTTTTCTGTGATAATTCAGTACTACGTACATTGCAGTCAACCCGATGTTTTTATGTTCATAGAAAGCATATTGAGTTCGATTATCATTTTGTTCGTGAACGTGTTAAGTTTGGCACTCACAGGTCACAAAGTTCATTTCATTCCGTCCTTGGATCAACTTGCAGATCTCTTGACAAAGGGTCTATCTAAACAACAGTATCTTCTTCTACAATCCAAACTTGTCGACTCTCAAAAGGCTTTCTTAGATCTCACAAATGAGTTTGTATTAAGTGACTTGGCAATCATGTTATCAGTCTCTTTCATTCGAAAAATGTGTGTTTGGGCCAAACTTCTTGCCTCCTGGAGAGGTTTCAAATATTCTTCGCATCCATCTTCAATCTTGTATTACCTGCTGAGCTAGTGATCGAGTCATTCTTGTCCAAGAAAACCTTCTATCCTAAGGTTTATGAATTAATATTGTAATCTAATTTTGATTGTATTCCTGATTTGTAAAGATCCTTACTTGTCCGCCAAGTATACATGATTGTATTTGTATATATAGGCCTCTGTGCTAAGAATATAATTAAGTTTGTAATTTCTATACTTATGTAGAATGATGTGGAACAAGGGCATCGGTTTTGGGTCAGATATACATTCGTTTACAATTTTTTCCAATCAACTTGACGAGGAGGTTACGTAGGTCAAGATATAAACCACAAGAGCCATAGTCATACAGTTACAAGTTCGGGATAAAAGTAAAATTTCATAAAAAAGGGGCATACAAGCAAATAAGCTTAACGTGTTTCTAATAAAAATGCTTCGGACAAAACACTTTAATGTTGATAAAAATTAGAAATGGCACAAAATCATAACGGGTCAAGCCTCATATCCACTCAAGAAAAGAGTAACCTTTACAACTTTCTGGTAGCCAATTTCATCAATGAGACTATGACATGAGTGAAACAAAGACAAAGCTATTTCGGTAGGTAACATGTCCGTCTGGTCTACACAATATAAACCATGCCAACCTCGAGAAGAGACGCCGGCGGGACCTTCAGCGCCACGTCTGGCCCCCGGCAATTCCTCCTCAGGCAGTTATAACCGAAGTTAATGGCGAATCTCTTCATAAACGACGAGCCTTGCTTCGCTTTAACGTGTGAGTGCCCAAGTATAAATGCAGTCCCAGCCTCTTGAGCTGCGTAGAGATCCCCAAGCTCTTCGCGTATCAGCGTTGTATTCTCAGGCTGGGTGTCGGGCTGAGACTCCTCGTCGATGGCAAACCTCACTCTTCTTTCAACCAGTTCCATCTCAATAACGTCTGTTATGCTTTCTACAGTTGGGAAACCAACAGATACACTTGCTGGTAGAGTCTCCTCCATCTCATAAGCTGATGCACCAGAAAATGCTACTGTTCCAATGACAGCTAGTCTACACTCGCTTGTGTCAGTAGACCTTGATGCATTATCCTCAGTGCAGGAGCTAGTTCTCTGTGTTCGACACCAGTCATATCGGATGAAATCACCCAGCCTTTCAACTAGTTCTGTCTCAAAGGAGTCAACATCTTGATGGACATCACGGTATCCATAACGAACAATGCACCTGTAGGACCGATGAGCTGCAGGACCAACGCGACCCACCAAGTAACGCTCAGCAGGTGGCACATAAGGGACAGGGACTGATTTTACACACACGAAAACTAAGACGCGGTGGAAAGCAGGGAGGTTGGTTACAAAGCGGGAGAAGTTAGCAGGAATGCCGGAGGTGAGATCTGTGAACACTAGGCCAATGCCAGGGACCCGAGCGATTCCCAGGCTTGGACCCAAAGCTAGAAGCCAGTCTAATGAAACCTTGTTGTGGAGGTCATATTCATACTTCTTGATGGTTGCATAGTGCCATACAAACATGATAGTCATGAGGAACAGCGCAAGAAGGATGGGAAGCCAGGCACCCTCTCGGAACTTGGTGAGCGAAGCTGAGAAGTAGAGCAATTCAATGGAGCCAAAGAAGATTAGGAAGCAAAGGGCTACAATAGGTGGCTTGTGCCAACAAATGACAATCACCAAGGAGGTGAGGCATGTGGTAACCAACATAACCGTCACCACTGCTAGCCCTGCAATAAAAAATAACGACCGCTTTGTACTTCAAGCAACAAAAGTGATTAATTATCTTCCTCTTGGATGCATTCGTGTCTTGAAATTTAGCAGGCTTTAAGATCCAATTTATAGTCCTAGCTAGCAAAATATGTAAGGGTAACTTACCAGAAGCATTTCCTAGGTGTTTTGTGTCTCTAAATCCAATGGTCACTGCAATGCAGAGGATCATGAGCATCCAATTGATCTCGGGAATGTATATCTGGCCATGTACCTTGTCAGAAGTGTGGACGACCTTGACTCTCGGAAAACAACTTAATGATTGGCTCTGGTTTATGATAGAAAATGTTCCGCTGATGATTGCTTGGCTTCCCACAACAGAAGCAAGAATGGCTAGTACAAGCACGGGCCATCTCACAGTTTCTGTCCCAAAAAATGAAGAGCTGATACATCTTCCATAACAAATATATAAAGTAGACAATTACAGTATAATAGCTATCCTAAAAGATTACGGCATGAATCCTAGAAACCACCGCTGTATGAATCCTAGAACTCCTCGTAGTACAGTGCAAACTAAATCATCCAATTCTCAAGTAGCAGCATATCTGATTCTATTTCTACAGATGCTGGATATATTCCTGCCTTTAGAACAATAATGACACGTACCTGGAACCGAGACATAAAAGCTGATCCGGTGACTGCTGTGGTGATGCTGCGATAAGTAAGCAGCCTGCCCCATATATGCCAATATAAGAGCTGGATAAACCAAAAAGGTAAAAGCAACCTGCACAATGAAGGGGTTTGCAACTTCCGTTATCAGTGTGCAAATCAGCATTTGCGATGCATAGAGAAGACATTACTAGGACGGTATGAATTACCTGAATGGCATTATATGAGAAGTGGCCAAGATCAGCAAACATTGCCTCCGAGCCTGCACACATAGTCACACATATCATTAGCATTTACTTGGTTTCTCTCTTTTCGTCTGCATTCATTTACCGTCAAATTATTTCAGGATGTGAATGTCAGTTCTGTGAAATTTTCAGTTCAGGTTTTCTGGAATTCCATGTTCAATGCCTGCTACCATATTGGATCTGACACGCACTGGCATACTTATGCATTATGCAATACATTTTCCACAACTCATCAATATGCAGGACAAGCAACATGACAAGATGTATATAGGGGAATATGATAATTATTTTCCGATGTTACCTGTTATGCACAGCAATATTCCACCCAAAGACATCCAGCCACTTATCCTTGTCTTCCTCAAGAACTTGAACATGTAATACGGAGACAGAGCATGATAGACATACCGGTTCCAGTGGATTATATTATACAAGCCAAGAGCACTGATGCACAGAAGCCATGCCAACACCACTGGTGCAAAAAGGAATCCGATTCGATGGGTGCCATAGTGTTGAAGTGCAAATAAACACAACAATATGAAACAAGTAATTGGAACCACAGCATCTGAAAATTGGCAAGTGAAATTTATGTACATCAGTATAATCAAATTAAAGTTGACATTTCACCATATACAAACCTTAAGAAAACAATAATTGATTAATCCTACGCTCCTATCGACTGGAAATGGAAAATCGAGTACGAGTGAGACTGCTTACACTGGTGATGCTCCTTGGACATGGATAATTCCAGGCCAGACACCGCAGAAAAGACTAAAATAAAGCATAGACATGAATTAGTCATCAAACCAGAAGGGATTGCTACATCTTTGATTCTTCAAAACGAAACGCCTTCTACCTGAAATTGCTGGAGTGAGCACTCCATCGCCAATTACCATACAAGTTCCAAGAAGAACAAGAATTAGCAAGGCAGTGTGCAAGGTCTTGCACTTCTCGAGTACAACTTTCACCCTCGAACTTTTTTCCTTCTCTGGGTGGTGCTCCAATTTATAAGTAGAAAGTGCCTCATCAGCAAGCTGGCGGTTGGGGAGAAGGCTTACTTTTGCGTGCCTACATATCAGTGAATACAGTGCAAATGTACCACCTGCAGAAAATCATGCACCAAATGTTACAACCTAAATACAATTATACAAGATATACGCATTGTACACTGCTTGTTTAGTACTTACCCTCTCCATTATCATCAGCTCGAAGGACTATAAAGACATACTTGACCAGCGGAACTAAAGTAAGAGTCCAGAAGACAAAAGAAAGTACACCATAAATCTCTTCATTCGTATCCGAATGTTGAATGTCTTCTGCAAATGCGCTCTTGTAAACATAGAGAGGGGAAATGCTCAGGTCACCATACACTACTCCAAGGCTCTGGTAGGCCAAGAGCATAACATTCTTCCAAGAATCCTTCTGAAAATTCAGTCCACCATACAAACTTCTAAGAATTCGGGTCGATTCTAGGAACATTCAACATACCAAACTGCTAAAGTAAAATCACTCACCGACTTTATAAAACATAAATTGTTTTGCTTATAGACTTATACCATCACAACCAGCCAGAAACATCGAAAGGGTTGATGAACAGAAGCACAATGAAGATACAGCACTAACCTTTGAAGCGTCCCAACACTTAATTCTCTCAAGATCCATGGCTCTGGTAAAATTTCAACTTTGAGTGCTAGATTTCTTCAGTTGGAAGCAGTTATTTGCAGATCTGCATTGAAACAGTACAGGTTTCATTGGTTAACTCAAAGTGCAGATTCTGCAAAATCCAAATATTTAAAATCCACAGCTTTATAGATTTCATGGGATGAACAATCACACTTTCAAGAAGATATTCACACACTTTCCAATAAACCCACATGGCATTCATACCTGCAATCACATTCCCACCAAATTTTTGAAAGCTGACAGAGAAATCTTTTGCAAATTTCCAGGATAGGAACGAAATCTCAAAAGGGATGAAAACCCAAAAGCCAAAAAATAAAAAAGAATTGGTGATCAGCTGCACTAGAATTCTTCAGATAAAGGTCACATTAATGTGAGGGACCCTCATTCATTCTATATGCAGGTGCTGTCACTGTTGTCTTACCCTTCTCAACCTTCCATGGTTGGTAGGGTTAGGAAAAAAAACAGTGAGACCTTGCTGTCAACATTCTATAGGGCAAAGATGAACTTGAATTTAACTGTGGTGCATGTGACATCAAACTTTGCATTTCCTTTTTTTTTTTTTTGTTTTTTTTTTTTGTTTTTTTGATAGAACAAACTTTGCATTTGTCACAAGAAAAACATATGGAAATTGGAGAAAATCAGCAGATGACCAAATAAAAGTAATGGAAACAAAGGCATAGTCACGTGAATCAGTAACGAAGCGTTGCATGTACCCAAAAGAAAAGAAAGATCAGGCAACTGGTGCCCACGCAAATAAAGCTGATTTCAAGGACCATTCATCTCAGATTCATAGCCACTATCTCATCACTTCCCTCTCTCTCTCGCTCTCTCTCTCTCTCTCTCTCTCTCAACCTTCGATTATTTAAAGAATTTCATTTATAAGTGCTAAAACCCTTCATTTTCTTTTGCTTGTAAACCATGAAAGCTTGTGTCTTTACAAATTTTCCCCAAAAATACAGGTAAACTGTCACTCTTTCAATAAATAAACAAAAGGGTTTGCAGCTAACGGAAGAAAACAACAAACAAAAACAAGAGCATACCAAAAATTAATTTCCAGAGACTTGTAAGATTTGCCCAAATGCCAGAGAAAAAAGAGATCTTTGCAAACAAGGACTACCAAAATTTACAGGCAATTGGCAAACCCATGTGAAATCAAGTACTTCTGAACATGCTAATGCTAGCTCAAAGGAGCTAACTTTTTCCCAACCCTTGAAGAGACATACAACATGAAGGGCTGAAAGGCTGTGTCATTTCAGATTTTCCATCAGCCACTGGGAGTGGCCTTTGTGGACTTTTCCGTTTTCTGACCCACTTTGACCTTTTTCCATTTTAGCTAAACAACATTTTGATTGCATCAGCTATTTTCTGGAAGACTGCCTTTCTAACTATAATTAACCCACCAATACAATCAAAATTTGAGCTTGAAATTCAAGGAAATAAGTTAAATAACTTTAAATCTAGCAGTTATGCAGTTAGCAGTCAATGTATCTAACTCAAGTTCAAATTTCTATCTCGTAAATTACAGTAATTTAGAATATCAAGGACTCAGAGAAAAATAGTGGAGTAAAAAACAAAACGAAAATGAGATATAGCTCGCATTTACACAAACAGATTACAAACTAAAATTACCTAAGATTTTCAAACCAGCAAATCAGCATAGATCTGCAGACACAGAACAAAAAATGAGCTTTTTTTTTTTTTTTTTTTTCTTCCTTTTCACACAGCATAACGAGAGAACGGGAATCAAAATCACGACCTCCGGTGCATGGTTGAACGCTCTTAACCAACTAAGCTACAAACCCTTTCGCGAAAACATGAGTTTTATACTTGAAAGCGCTGGAGCCGAGCCTCACACTTTTCCTGAGTGGGGTGACAGCAACTGGCAACTGGGTGTTTAGCAGGCTTTGTCAAGTAAACTGAAGCGGTACAAAGATGGATTAAAGATTTGGATGTTTATTCGGTTCAATAGGGGATGCATTTGATGTGTGTTTGAGTGGAATGAAAAGCTTGTGACCGTGAGTCGTGGCAGATTTGGGTGCATTACATATCAAAGATCCGTTTCAAAATGTTTTTTAAATGATTGAAAGTGATTTAAAAAATAAAAAAAAAAACTTCTAAACGAAGAAAAATATTATCAGATCGTAGTATGTACAAATTTTTTTTAAAAAAAAATTATGAGTTTTAAAAATATGTTTTTTTAAGATTCACTTTCATTCTTGTTAAAGATTAATTTCAAAAGTAGATTCACAAAAAACGTATTAACTATTTTAAAAGTGTGTCGACCAACTGACCATTTCGAATGTTTTTCTCTCAATATTATTCACTCAACAGTAAAGCGACAATATTATATGATATATGTACATGATTAAAATTAAACAAAGTGGAACGTGGGTAAGATTGATTCCGTTCCAAGAAATTAAGAATTGTTTAAGGAAACTAAAGTATTGGCCGTATCCTACATGAGACATTAAAAATGGTAATCAACGTCTGGTTTAGTGAGTCTTAAACTTTTTTTAATCTACAAAGTTATGGGTTTTAGAAAATAGATAAGTTTTTCAATGACCAGTTTGACGTAGTTGTTTCTAGAAAATTACATACAGGATTTAAAATATTGGAGCAATCTTCTAAACTCTTTTAAAATATTTGAAATCTTAATTTGACTATTCGAATTATTTGATAAGTTAAATTAAAAAACCTTGTATGGTATTGCTGCATGATAAAAAACATGCAGAGGATCCTCATTCTTCAATGCAATATGCTCGACACGTAGCATCAATAATTTATTCTTGTTGTAATTTGTGTGTGTGTGTGTATATATATATATATCAATTTTATAATTTACATTTTTGAAATATTCGCTTTATTGGCACTCATATTATAACCAATGTTCTAAAAAGTGTTGTTATTTAGTATTATGATATGTATAGAAGACTAAAAAACTACGTCAAACTCGTCATTGAAAAACTTATCTCTTTATGTAAAGTATAAGTAAAAAAATTAAAGTATTGGTTGTTGTTTTGCAATTTATGTATCTCAATGCAATTATGTATTTTTTTAAGTATAAGTAGTATTTAGATGTTGTCTACCCCACAACAGAACGACATATATTGTAAAGTATTAAAACATATTAAAAACATAGATAACAAGCATATAATGAGTGTTCACTCAAGTATTATAATTAACTGTCCAATCCAACCCGTTTAACAATGGTTTAGTTTACTTTAATACTGTGAGTGTGTTTTTGTACACTAAATCGAATCTACATATTCTACTGTAATCGATTTGATCATCGTTGGGATAACAGAACATTCCCATCTCCACTGGTCGATGTGGGATAACAGATTTTTTTTTTTTTCTTCTTTGGTCGTTAAAACTCTGGTGTTCTTCAAGGTAAAATTCTGTAACCTCGAACAAAAAAATATGGCGTCAAAGATCCAACGGACACAATTCCAAGGTCTTTATTGTAGCTCCAAGGCTATGTAGCCTTAATTTGTTTGGTTGTAATCGAATAAGCTAATTAAAGTAAGACAAATTGTTGCTTCAACAAACTCCAAGGCTCCACGAGAAACTCTCTTATTACAAAATAATGTATTTCTTACATATACAACACATTTGGGATATACATCTGTGACATCATGTATATATAATTTGACACCAAGAACTCGCAGACGATATATTACAAAACATATAGAGGGGAAGAAGAAGAAAATCAAGCCTAACTAGAAAAGAATAAGCAATTCGTATATGTATACACGAGACCCTTCTTAAGAGGGATCTCGCTCTACTGTTTATGGAGCGGGATAAGTAATGTCCTCATATTGAACTCATACACGAGGTCACTATCCTATCACGATAAAAGAGCAAGATCCTTCATGTGGAGCTCCTCCTAGTGGGAAAATATACATGTCACTCTGTACTAAAAAAGGTGGTACATATATATAGGAAAACAAAACCCTTGAAAGAAATTTAAAACGCACATCAGAGCAAACTCACATCACGATCGATCAGTGACCGACACCGGGGCTCGGAACATCGCCGTACCGTCTGTAATAGTCGTTATCTCCACCATTTCCATTGTAATCATCAGCTTCTGCGGGAAAATCTTCCATAATCAAACGCTTTCGCGACGCTTTTAGAATCGTGGCGCCCGGAGGTTGATATTTGCTATTACTGTGCCTGATCGTTGCAACCATAGGCAGAAGAAGAACAAGAAAAATGAACAGAAGATTGAACAACTTCCTCATCCCCATTTTTCAACGAATCGATGGCAATTGAGAGTCGAAAAGGGAGAAGAACAAGCGAGACATGCACCGCTTTAATAGGTGGTGAGGCCATATGCTCATGATTTTGATTTATTAATTTAGTGCATGAACCATCATGGTGTCAATGTCATGTCATCCAATCTGGACAGAGATAAAGCTTCATAAAAAAGTTGGCCTGCGGACCAACGCATATAAGGTTGATGTAGAGACATGCACTAGCAAAGGTGCAAACGAAACGAGCCGAGCTAAGCCGAGTCGAGCTGAATCGAGTAGCAAAGTGCTCAAGCTCAAGTTAGGTGATATTATTCGAAAAAGGCTCATAATATTATACTTGAGTTCAGTATTAATGATTTTTTCATGCTCGAACTTGGCTCAGATCAGCTCGTTTGTAAATCGACTCCTTCTAAATTCTTTATTCTTTGGTAAACAGAAAAATGGTTTAAAAGTATGATTTGATAAAATTTGTTATGCCTTTGACCACAGTATGTTAATTATTTCTAGGGACCATGAGATAGCTCATGCAGAGAAGATAGATGTTATTTAATTTGCTGGCTTATACAGAAAGGAAAACCTTTGTTAAGATTTTTGTCTGTGCGCCAAACAGTGCTCATTACTCAGCATGATGATATAATTGCACTCTTATAAATTAATTAAATTTCAATTTGCACTGACATAATCATATGTATTAGGGTTTTAGTACATGGGTAAATTGTTATTTAATTCTTTGAACTATTACTTCAATTGAAATTTATTTCAGTGTAGTAAGTGCATGACTCCAATAAGCATACGTAACGTGGGATCTTGTGAAAATTATGAAATTGGGAACTGATTTTCATGGTTGCTTCAGGTCGATCTTAATTTGGGTAACGTAAATATTAATCGGTTGTATGTACAACTATTGATTTAAGTATTGCATAATTAGTTTGTGTTGAAAAAGAAATGTATTTTAAGGTAGTGCTGGAATTTTGAATTGAAAATTTACTAAATTGAGCGTATTGACCTATTTTTTCACATACCATCTAGGTTTTTCAAAAAATAAAATAAAAAATATTGACCGATTTTTTTTTTTTTTGAACAAACAATATTATCTACACTAAGGAAGAAGGGGTAAGCTTAGCCTCACAATGGGCCGGCAATAATGTGGTTCAAATTCGCCTTTAGCGATAATCGAACATAAAAACTCTCACTTACAAGTGAAGATAAATACCACTAGATCATAATACTAAGTGACAATATTGACCAACTTAGTTTGTCGTATATTTGGTAAGCGCTCAATTTCATTCGATTTTGTAACTGAACCAATTTGGTCGAACATATTGAACCAACATCCAATACCTTGAGCCATCGACTCATTCCAAGTGACAGAAACTATAGAAAATACGTCAAAACTTAAGAGCATTTCCAGCCGTTAGTAGAAGGTAAGGGCAATAAATATAGGAAGTCTTTAAGAGAAGGGATCCCCATTTTTTTTTTTTTAAATGGGGATTAGTTGTGGGGTCCACACCACATCGAATTTTAATGATCCGAACTGTCTATGTTTCAAGTTGTACCTCATAAATCATCCTTACAAAATATTAGCCAAATAGGAAATATTTAAGACATTTAATTGAGTTCAAAGAAATGAACGGATACTTAGTTATATAAGAAACAATGAAATTTGATCTTGATAATTAAATTGGCAAATGGTTTCGGATTGAATTGAAGTTTTGCAATGAAGATCTATGAATCGAGACTAACAAAATAGACACTTCGGATCGTTGAAATTCGACGTGGAGTGGATCCCACACCTAATCTCTATTTTTTTTCAAAAAATGAGGATCCATGTGTATAAAGGGTCTGCCTAAATATATATATATATATATATATTTTTTTTTTTTTTAATGTATTATTTGCTTATCCTCCACATGTCATTATCGCCGTAGCTTTTTATTTAATTTGCAAGTATGTTGAATTTTGTAAGATTTTTTAAGTGTGAACTTTGTAAGTTTTTTTTTTTTTTAAATTTTTTACATAATTTTTTGGATTTTTTAAAGTTGGATTAATCCTAGCCGTTAAAATTTTCAATTTTTTTGAATTAGAGGCTTCACAAAGCGGCAAGTGGCACAACATCAAAATTTTCCAATTTTTTTTTTCAACGGTCCTGATCAACAGACGATTAAAAATCCAACGGTTGTAAATGGATTAAATTTGAGCCGTTTAGCTCTGCTGGACTTCACACGGGCGTAAGCCTCGACTTCAGTTGGCAAGACAGCAACAAGGGCTCCTACCTTCCACCCAATTGCCCCTCCTTTGTTCACCGGCGGAGCCATTTTCTTTGGACAGCAAGGCAGTTCAACACAATTGCGAGAGCAATAGGTAACTGCTGAAGATGCTCTAAAAAGTAAGAGCCATGAGTATTTGAACCCTAGACCTCTTTTCATGGGCGTTTGACAACAAACCACTAAAGCATCATCAATGTCCTGTCATTAGTTTAGCCATAATTGTTTCAATTTAGTCAATATGACAATAGTTGATTCAATTGGAGGCAAATTGTCTACCCTCCTGTTTGGGTGCCATTCTCATCCCCTCCTATTTTGTGCAG